TCTGCAGCTCATTACTCACTAATTACACAGCGGTCATTAGCGGTGGGGGCGGGGGTCCCTGGGAGAGGGGGCGGCCGGAGACCCCCGCATTTGCAGGAACGGGGAGATTTTTCTCATAAAAAGCCGTCTTTTTTTTTTTTTTTCTTTTCACGAGCTCTTGCCTTTTTCCCAGCGGATTCGGCGGAAACCCCCCTCCCAAAAAACCTTAAAAAGCCGTCTTTTTTTTTTTTTTTTCTTTTCACGAGCTCTTGCCTTTTTCCCAGCGGATTCGGCGGAAACCTCCCTGCTCAACAAGCTGATCCGCACCTCCCTGGTGGAGTCCAGCCACCGCGTGGAGATCCTGCAGCGGGACCCCAGCTCCCCGCTCTTCTCCGTCAAAACCTTCGAAGAGCTGCCCCTGTGAGTCGCCAGCGCCCGCCAAAGCCGCCGCCCTTCCCCAAACGGACCCTTTTTCATGCCTTTTTTTTGTTGTTTGTTTGTTTTTTTTTTTACAGGAAGCAGGAGCTTTTGAAGGGGATTTACATCATGGGCTTCAACAGACCGTCCAAAATCCAGGAGACGGCTCTGCCGATCATGCTGGCGTATCCGTGAGTAGTAACGCCCTCGGGATGCCGATCCGGGGAACGCCCGACCCTCGCGCTTCGCTAAGCAGCCTTTGCCTTGCAGGCCCCAAAATCTGATTGCCCAGAGCCAGTCAGGGACAGGGAAAACGGCAGCTTTTGTCTTGGCGATGTTGAGCAGAGTTAATGCCGCTGAGAAATACCCGCAGGTAACGTAGGAAAGGGAAAGCTGATGGCAGGAGGGGTTTGCCCAAGCCCTCGAGACGCTGCCTGGCGGCAGAGCTCTGGTTTTTCTCCCCGTCTCCGATTTTATCCGCTGGAAGGGGACGATAAAACGCCAGGTAGCGTCGCAGCAGCAGGTAGGACAGAAGGCGTGGTGCCCGCTAACGGGAGGGACTTTTACTTGTTAGCGCTGGATTAAGCCAGGCTTTAGGTATCCTGGAATTTAAATTTTGAAAAGCAACTGCAGAGGCTGCTGGTTTCCCGGTGGCTTTCATCGCCTCTCTGCCTGCAGAATCCGCTTTGCGAGCTGGTTACTGCCATTTAAAGCCTCTCCTCTCAAGCGTCCGGGCTGATTTAAGCCGTCGCTTTAAACCCGGGCGCAGAAACGAACTGCCCCGTGCTTCAGGAGGCAAATTTCCCCCCTCAAAAATAACCACAGCGACATTTTTCCTGCCTACATCCCTCGAGCTCTGCGCTGTTCCCAGCTCCGCAACCTCCCGACGGGACCGACTGCCCGATCCCCCTCCGCTTTCGGGGGATTTTAGCGGCGTGGGATTTTCCCGTGCTCTTCCCATCCCTTCGCAACGCCTCCTCGCCTGCCCTCGACTTTTAAACGAGGCGTTTCTCCCCTGACCGCTCTCTTCTCTCCCCCCAAGTGCCTCTGCTTGGCTCCCACCTACGAGCTGGCCCTGCAAATCGGGCGCGTGATCGAGACCATCGGGCGGTTTTGCGCCGACATCAAGGTGACGTACGCTGTCCGGGGAAACCGAGGTGAGTCCGGTCGCGCCGAGCGGAGCTACCGGCGCCGTGACGGGAGCGTTCAGTGAGCGCAGGGAGCCTCTCTCGGAGCCTTGAGCCGCACAGACCGCCGCGAAGGCGCGTAAAATCGCGTCCGTATTCCCTTCTCCCGCTAAGGAGCCTTTTCCACGAGCGCTGGTTGCTTCCAGGCTTCCCCTTCCTGGTTTCCACCCCGCCACGGCCGTAGGGAAGTGTCAGCCCTGCTTGCAGCTTTAATCCCAAGCTCCGCTTTGCGACGATCCCCCCTCAAAGGCCGGAATCCGACATAACCGAGGGATAAACCGGCAGAAACGCGTCGCGTTTGGAAGCGGTCGGGTGCCATTTCCCCACCCTCTCTCGCAGTTCCGCAGGGCTCCGCGCTGGAGGAGCAGATCGTCATCGGGACGCCGGGGACGATGCTGGACTGGTGTTTCAAACGGCGAGTCGTAGACGTGAAAAAGATTCACATGTTCGTCCTGGATGAAGCCGACATCATGATCGACACTCAGGGCCTCTCCTATCAAAGCATTCGCGTTCAGAGGTGAGTGTTCCTGACGGCTGGCATCGCGCTTCCCTCGGCTTTGAGGGAATCGGTCACCAAACGAGCTGAATCGGCAGCGAAGGAGAGCGTCCCTGTGATATCGGGGGAAACGTGAGTCCTTTCTGTAAAACCCCGTCCGTGAGAGACGCGGGAAGCTTTTTACCTCGCTTCCCTTTCCTTTGAGCCCTTCCAGCCCGGGGGTTGGGTTCCCTTTCTGTTGAAAGCGACACAAAATCAGCTTAAATTAGCTTTTTTTTTTTCCCTTTTCAGGGCACCGGGCTGCTCTCCCGGGCTGACGAATCCTTTTTCTCCGCTCCAGGGCTTTACCCAAGGGCTGCCAGATGCTGCTCTTCTCAGCCACCTTCAAGGAAACCGTGCGGGCCTTCGCCGTGCAAATCGTCTCCAACCCCATCGTGATAAAGCTGCGGGAGGAAGAGCTCACCCTCAGCAACATCAGGCAGTATTTCTTCGTGTGCAGGAGCAGGGAGGAGAAGTACCGAGCCCTCTGCAACATCTACGGCAGCATCACCGTCGGCCAGGCCATGATCTTCTGCCAGGTAAAGCGCCTCAGCCTGCCCGGGGAGGAGAAATCGATGCCTTTGCCCTCGGCGATAACAGAAAGGGGTCGTTTTTTACAGTCCGGATGCGGGGGGGCTCCTCCTGAGACCCTCAAAATCAAGGAGCGAACCCCCGGGAAGGGTGGGGAAAGTCTTTGCCGTCGTTTAAAAGCAGCTTTTAGTTCGAACGGCATCTCTTCTTTGGTTGGGACTGGCTTTCGCGGTCGCCGGCGCACGGAAAACGCGCCGTTTTTCCTCGCCCTTTGCGCTGCGTGTCCCGACAGAGGCTCCTTGCTCATCCGCCTCGGTTTTATTGCCTTATTTTGAGGTGTTAAAAAGCGCCGGGAGCTCCCTGGAAAAGCGCAGGGGGCTCGGGAGAGGCGGGGGGGGAAAAATATTGGAGAAGGGTTGGCCGGGAGCGAGCGGGGCGACGGCAGAGCCGCTGCGAAACCTCAGCCCGCCTCTCCCCGCGCGCCTCCAGACTCGGAGGAGCGCGGACTGGCTGGCGGTGGAGATGAGCTGGGACGGGCACCAGGTAGCCATCCTGACGGCCGAGCTGACGGTAGCCCAACGGGCCAACGTCATCCAGCGCTTTCGCGACGGGAAGGAGAAGGTCCTCATCGCCACCAACGTCTGCGCCAGAGGTATCTCCGGAAAATCCAGCGCTCCTCGATGGGGTGAAACGCGCTTCCCGGCCTCG